CACTGTCAGATATCATCTATACTTGTCCCATCTATGCCTCGTCCACACTGTGCCTCGACCCCACTGGGCTACCGTTTTTTTCTTTAATTTTTAGGGAAATTAACCTCCTTAAATTTGCTTTAATTGCTATTGTTCTTGGATACCGAAAACAAGATTAATACAGTTTAGTACTGAAAAATATTTTATAGTAATAGCATTTTCTATTTTATAAAGCTATATTAGAACTATGTGTGTAAAAATAGTTTTATTTCAAACTTCGATGGCTATAATTAAATAAAAATGAATTAATCGGCCAATTTTTTGTTTTTGCAACCAACACGGCTCATAGAAATTAAGTAAACTGATAACTCTTGACGTTTATATCAGTAAGTATCACCTGTAAGCAATCATAATAAGAATGCAAGCGAAAAATGAATATAGATAGTAAATAAATAAAAATCTTTACTGGAAATGCCAAATTACTAAAAAAAAGTAGATAAGTGTATTAATGATATAAATTGAATGCATTTCGCTACCAAAACTCTATTTTGAAATGGTGGCTGTTCAATTGTTTGGTGAAGTTTAGTAAAACCTTCGTCTAATTTTACAGTAACATATTTTTACATTTTTTTTTTTTGTATTTTTTTTTCAATTAATTGTTTGTACTTTAAGTACTCTCCACGCATAGTTATGTATGAAGCATAAATAGCCATTTTATCATTATCACTAGCCATTTTAATTAACTTAAGGTTAATTAGATAAATAGAAACTAAAAATTATAGTTAAAGTTAAAGAACTATTTTAACTAAAAAAAAAAATAATCTAAAAGTATCGAAACTAGCAATACTAAAAAATGTATTTTAAATCACTCACTGAAACGTCCAAACACTGCAGTGCTAAAAAAGCAAATGATACATGACTTAATATTTTTCAGGTCCCACCTCCAATACAATTATTTGGCATTTGATCCAGTCGTAGGAATAGTATACTTGGCTTTTATTTATTACTTGTACAAGTGTACAAGTACTGGTATACTTGGCAAGTACACCAGTCGTGGGAACCCGTCTTAAGAAATAGAAAAATAACTGGACTGAGCGGTCTATTAGTAACAATAATTTTAGTATATTTGAACGCTTTGGACAAAACTTCAAACAACCGATTTCAGCAGACGGTAACAAATATTTTAAAAACGGCCACAAATTCATTGATTATTTTTAATTCGATGGACAGATATTTGAGAAAATTAATACTGAAGTCAATCGAGCCGTAAGTAATGAAAGTGATAAGTTCAAATAAAAGATTATTTCTTAAGCAAATAGGCAACGTGGTTTTTATAAGCTTCAAGACCGTTTTTAACGCTCTGTTCCTTCAGATTTCTCAATGCAACGTTACTAGTTTGCCTATTAACTTATTGCTATACCGCAGACCAACCAATTGAGTGACTATAGAACAAGACAGGATAAGTTAATAACCAAACTGGCAACGTGTGGAATTCATAAGCCTTGAGAACGAAAGACTTTAATGCTCTGTCCCTTTTAATTATACAGACTTATGACAGCAATGTTGCCAGTTTGCTTATGTACTTATTTCTAAAACGCGTAACAGAAAATACACAAATAAGAAGCTATTGAGTAATGTTTTCATTGTAATATACATTTATGGTACTTTGTTCAATCGAATATTTGAATTTGTCGCTCTTTTTTCTTAATTTGATTGACTTCAGTATTCATTCTCTCAAATAGTTGTCCATCTAATTAACACTAATAAATGAATTTATCACCAATTTGTTGTGTAATTTCCAATTTAATGATTTAGCGTATAAGTGATCAGGTGTGACTATTTTTATCATTGAACATTATTTCACAACTGCACTCTATCAACTGTCAGCTATAAAAACTTGCTAATTTTTGAAGTGCTCGTTGCTATCGACCAGTTATATTCTTAATTAGATTATTTTATAAGCTAGTTTGAGCGTGAGCGTGAGCGTCCCTTTTTACGAGAAAAATGGCTTTTTATACGCCGGATGAAGTAAGCCAGCGATCTCTATTGAAATTCCTAAGATGTTAGATCATTATTTGTGATTGGTTAATTGTAATAGAAACCCTGCCGTGGGCGTAGTTAATGAATTGTAGGGGACTGGTTTGAAACATATGTTGATAAATAGTTATTTTTATTACCCTAAAAGGGAAACATTCCTTAGATCATTTTTGGCTTTATTCATATATATGTGATATTTAGTACATGTGTTAATAATTATACTACAGTTGATCGATTTGATCTAACCCGATCATGATCGATAGAGATAGACAGATAAATATATATGGATTACGTACTACGTTAGATATAAGAACTAAATAAATTATCGCAGGACATATATTTCCAAATAATAGACACTTTCTATGCCACTTGATTATTTTCACATTAATATGTCTATAATCATCCGTTTATACTTATAATTATTCACTTATAGAAGTTGAGATCTCTAGTTTTTTTTTTCTGTTGGTACTATTGCATATGCAGTTGTAATATAAGAAAAAGTATTTTCATACATGAAAATCATATATGGGAATTTACATTTTTATAAAGTGTTTATGTTAAGAAAATTGCTATAATAATAATTCTTAAATAATGTGACTATTAAGAAAATATTGTTATACTACCTGTTACTATTAATAATGTAATCAAGTTTTAAAAAAAGTTTAACTTTGACGGGGCTCATAGAAAGTATTAATTTTACTATGATGTGTTTATTGCTTATTTGCCTAAAAATTCATATACATAATTACTGAATAATGAATGTGACATGTATCATTGTATATAACGTTATACATGTGAGAGGGTGAAGTATTAGCTATGAATATGTATAGATCATTAAGTATAGTTTTTAATATAAATACCCTATCCCAACAACTCGAAATGTATGATTTTTTTTTTTTTTTTTTTACTTGTAACGCTCTATGCTGAACAAGTACGCATACAAACTATCATTTATTCAACTAACCAGCATATTCAATCATAAACAAAAAATAAAATGAATACGATCGAAAATTTGTACAAGAAATGTATTATGGATTTCAATGCCACAAGTGAGTACAATAAATTGTAAATAGTATTCTTCATTTATCGTTAACATATATTTTATATGTAAAAATAGAAGATTACAATTTTAAATATTGTGATTGTGAAATCAATAAATGTTATCAACATAGGGCATTATTAAGAGATGTCTACCATACCGGACAATATATCGACATTTGGGCTGATGTAGTGGTCGAATATTTCGTTAATAATGCAGAGTATGAAAAATATGAGGCAATTACTAACGATTTAATTGAACGTGCATCGGTCGATTTGGAGATTTATTTACGAGAATTGTATGAAAAGCTATTCACCGTAAAATCTGATTATGGGCATAAACGATGGCTTGAAGGTAAAAAAAAAAAATTATTAGTAATACTTTTGATAATAAAATTAAAACTAATAGTTAATAGACGAAACTAATTTACTTTATAAAGGTTGAAAATTATGTTTACATAGATTATTTTTATTGTACAGAAAGACTTAGCTTATTTACAGGTAGCAGTCAAAAGTTGAGGAGTGGATTTAAAAATCGTCGTATAATTGATCTTGTTTGCATGTACAACTTAATTGTATCACGTAAACAAGATGAATGTTAGCATTAGCATTGAAACTGGTTTTCATTTGACGATTCATATTAGCCAATATAGATTTAAAGTAAGATTATGATTATGAATATTAAACATAGGTTTAACTGAGCTTAACTCGACTCAGCATATGGCGAATTTGGTACCGACATACTATCGCACCCCCATTACCTATCTTAATTTTAATTTGGATGACGAGACTGTAGATGAATATTCAGAGTGGTATTTATAATTTGTAAATAATAAGTTTGTTTTGTTGTAAGTTAATTTTTTTTTTTTTTTTTATATTTTGTATATAATATTAATAATAATATACATTAAGGGTAACATAATTATCAATTGCTTCTAGTGTTATGCATGTGACAGGATAAAGTACAAGAACAGGTATAGATCTTTAAACATAGTTTTTTCATGCACATATTCTATTTTACATCATGAAATTTAACATTTTTTACATGTGATAATGAATACTGTACAAATATGTGCGGTACAAATCCACCATACAAATACCTTGTTATTTAACCGCCAAATGTATAGATGTTTTTAATTTAACCATATTTAATATTATTTTTTAATATCATTATAATAATTCTATTGCAGTGATTGATATGTCAAAGCAGACCGACAAAATTACAGTCCCGTCTTTTAACCTACGTATTGAAATTGAAGCATCATCCGCGTTCCCTGCTAATACAACTGCATATGCTATAGTAATTTCAGACAATGTATTTACATATACACCTTTTGACGGTACCCTCCGTATATTTTATCATTTTTTACATGTTTATGTAAACATTTATTATTAACCTTGTAATTATTATTATTATTATAAAATAAATATATTATATACAAATAACAACACTGTTTTTATTTTTAGATTATAAGTTTATTATAAGAAACTAGTACAATATATAAAGTTATTGTTTATAAATTATTAATATAAGTTAATTTTCTGACGTGATTGGGTTTCGGCCATTGTGAAGCCCATGGACTATAACTATTTTCTTGGGTATACACTGTTGTATTGAAAAATGTTGGTCCATCATTTTCATCGCACATTTCTTCTTCTTTTTCCTAAAACATAATTATATATTTAATAACAATAAAGGTTATTACAATCTATGTTCCTTAAACTCACATTAATTTGAAGCGTGCCCTCGGACCATGGCTTGACCCATCGATCAACTATTACATTGTATGCTAAATTTTTCAGCTCGCTTATGTAATTACTGTCACCTATTTCTATATCATTCAAACTTCTTATAAAATTAACCATTTCATCATTGTTTGATTGTTGAATTTTAGGGCCCGACCATTTACCGTCGGCGTATTGTATAATGCGGTCTATTTGATGGCTTAATAGTAAACGTGTTTTTAATTTTCTTGATATTGCACTGTTAATAGTACACTCCATTTGTTTAAGTATCTGAATGTTTTCTTTATTTAATAAAACACGGCATCCTTCGGTCGTCGCGGATTCTAATACTAAATGTACTGAATCACGATATAATGTTTTAGATAATTTGAAACATTCATTTCGGCATAAAATATTGTTTTCGTTTCTAACCGGAGATGATTGTAAAAATATATTTATTTCATTCATCATGCCGTAAATAGTATTCAAAAATTCTGTTGACATGCTAATATATCGTGAAGGAGTAATAATATATACCGTAATATTGAAGTCCTCCTTTGGATTCAGTCCTAGTTGTAAAAATTTTCTATCGCCGAACGAAATTGTATAACTGCTTGAATCGATCATTTCTGGTGGCGGTGTCGGTGCAACATAAACATAACGTTGTTTTCTTACAGGTTCGGCATCCATATTGTTCATAGAGTAGAGTCTTCTTTTTAGAGCTGATGGTTCTTGATGACACTATGACTTTATCAACGATTTCATGTTCATTTATGCGGAAAAATCACATATTTTCATAGGGGGGTCAGCAAATCACATATCCCCGTAAACTAACCCATTCCTTCACCACTTAAGTAATTTCACTTTAATATCATAATAATTAATTTTAAACTCTCGATTTCTAAATATTTGTATACAAATATATGTAATAGATTATGTGTATACATGTTTTATACAAAAACGATTACACATTAATGTCTATTAACAAACGCGGTAGTGTGACTGAATAATCAAAAAAGAATTTGATAAAATATTATTTCTAACGTATAAATATTTTCTCTAAAATTAAAAAAAATAACTCAATTCTTATGAAATATTGCACATATTTCTTTATTTACTTTAATATCATAATAATGATCACCTTATGATGAGTTTCATCATCACCTCCCCTTCAATGTAGGGGTAAACCGCTGATTTACTTTTTTAATACATACGTTATTCAAGTAAGAGGGCTATCTATGACCAAAGGCCTACACATCACATAGCTATAGTTGGGTTTCGTTTGATTAATAGCCGCTGTCGCCGCTTGATTGTACCTTTCACTTTCTGCATTCAAATATTTTCAAATAATTCTAAAATTATGTAATTTTTAAAATAACTCCAATTTTCTATAATATATCAAGATATACTATATGATGTTCCATCCACCTCGGTATACTATGAATATACTAGGGTATACAATACATGATAACTGTACAAGTCCGCATTTGTCCGAAAAAGTAGTAGATGAGCATAAATAACACTTAAATTCACACTTGTCACATGAAAACATTTTTTAAAACGTTTAAGTGATACAACACTATTAATTTTACTCAAGTAATAATCAGTCTTTTATGTGAAAATACTCATTTATGCGGAAAAATCACATATTTTCATCGAGGGTCGGCAAATTACAGATCACATATCTCTGTAAACTAGCCTTTTCGTTCACCACTTAAGTGATTTCACTTTAATATCCTAATAATTAAATTTAAAGTCACGATTTCTAAATATTTTTATACAAATATATGTAATAGAGTATGTGTATACTCAATATGTATACATATGTTTTATCCAATAACGTTTACACATTAACAAAAAATATATATTAACAAACGCAATAATGTAACTTAATATCATAATAATTAATTTAAACTATCGATTTTTAAATATTTTCTCTTTAATTACAAAATAACTCAATTCTTATGAAATAGTATAATATTATACATATTTATTTATTTACTTTAATATCATAATAATGATCACCTTATGATGAGTTTCATCATCACCTCCTCTTCTATGTAGGGGTAAACCGCTGATTTACTGTTTTAATACATACGTTATTCAAGTAAGAGGGCTCTCTATGACCAAAGGCCTACATATCACATAGCTATAGTTGGGTTTCGTTTGATTAATAGCCGCTGTCGCCGCTTGATTACTCCTTTCACTTTTCTGCATTCAAATATTTTCAAATAATTCTAAAATTATGTAATTTTTAAAATAGCTCCAATTTTCTATAATATATCAAGATATACTATATGATGTTCCATCTACCTCGGTATACTATGAATATACCAGGGTATACAATATATGATAACTGTACAAGTCCGCATTTGTCCGAAAAAGTAGATGAGCATAAATAACACTTAAATCGTATACCGTCATGTATATTCCTATGCAGCAGTTAAAAACAGTTTTTTGACAACGTACACTTTTTCACACTTGTCACAAGAAAACATTTTTTAAAACGTTTAAGTGATACAACACTATTAATTTTACTCAAGTAATACTCAGTCTTTTATGTGAAATTACTCATTTATGCGGAAAAATCACATATTTTCATCGAGGGTCGGCAAATTACAGATCACATATCTCTGTAAACTAGCCTTTTCGTTCACCACTTAAGTGATTTCACTTTAATATCCTAATAATTAAATTTAAAGTCACGATTTCTAAATATTTTTATACAAATATATGTAATAGAGTATGTGTATACTCAATATGTATACATATGTTTTATCCAATAACGTTTACAAATTAACAAAAAATATCTATTAACAAACGCAATAATGTAACTTAATATCATAATAATTAATTTAAACTATCGATTTTTAAATATTTTCTCTTTAATTACAAAATAACTCAATTCTTATGAAATAGTATAATAATGTACATATTTATTTANGAATTGTTATGAAATATTGCACATATTTATTTTTTTACTAATAAATATTATAATAATGATCATCTTATGATGAGTTTTATCATCGCCTCCCCTTCTATGTAGGGGTAAATAGTTGAACTGCTGTTTTAATACATACTTGAGTCAAGGAAGCGAGACCCTCTATGAATAATACACGTCATAGTTGGGTTTCGTTGGGTTAATAAGCCGCCGCCGCTCGATTGCACCTTTCACTTTTCTGCATTCAAATATTTTCATATAATTCTAAAATTATGTAATTTTTAAAATTCTGTAATATATCAAGATATACTATATGATGTTCCATCTACCTAGGTATACTATGCATATACCAAGGTAACTTGTACCATGGTATAACGAAATGCTATCTAGGAACGAGAAACATCGACCTTTCACCATATCCCCCCGGCCGTTTACACCGCCCGTCCACCTAGGACAGGGTAAACCTACATCATGTGGGTGGGTGAGGGGACTATACCTTTCACCATATCCCCCTCCCGGTTGTTTACACCGCCCGTCCACCTAGGACAGAGTAAACCCACATCATGTGGGTGGGGGGACTATGCCTTTCACCATATACCAACAGCTGTTTACACCGCCCGTCCACCTAGGACAGGGTAAACCCACATCATGTGGGTGGGGGGACTATGCCTTTCACCATATACCAACAGCTGTTTACACCGCCCGTCTACCTATGGCAGGGTAAACCCACAACATGTGGGTTAGGGGGGATCCCAGCTCATATAATACCCCTCTACTATCCTCAGACGACAATCACAAAAAAAATAAATTCAACATCTGTAAATATTTTGTTAATTGTTACATAAAAAAAATTAAAGGTGGTGGGGGTGCAATCATCCATTATAAAATATGTTTATATGGAATCAAATTAAATTTAAATATTGGGAAGGGGTTTATGTTTTTATCCCACCTCTTCCCATAAATTATCTACACCACGTGTATACACCTTTAATTTGCTGAAGTTGCTTAAAATCGGGCATGCACTCCAATAAATTATTTTTATTCTTTTAAATTAAAAATTATTAATTATTTTTTACAAATTTTGAAACTTATTAAATTTTTAAAACTTTTAAATAAAAATTGTGTAAAATATGTTTAAATAGCTTTAGGGTATTGTACTATTATCAGTAATCTATTTATCATCGTCCAATTAATTTATCCTAAAATAATTATAATCTTGAAATTGTTTTTTTTTGAGAAGTGGTTAAATACCCTTTGGGTTCACCATTATCCCTTTCTTAACTTTATTTTTTTTAATGGCAAAATATTTATTAAACTAGCTTATAAAATAATCTAATTAAGAATATAACTGGTCGATAGCAACGAGCACTTCAAAAATTAGCAAGTTTTTATAGCTGACAGTTGATAGAGTGCAGTTGTGAAATAATGTTCAATGATAAAAATAGTCACACCTGATCACTTATACGCTAAATCATTAAATTGGAAATTACACAACAAATTGGTGATAAATTCATTTATTAGTGTTAATTAGATGGACAACTATTTGAGAGAATGAATACTGAAGTCAATCAAGTTAAGAAAAAAGAGCGAAAAATTCAAATATTCGATTGAACAAAGTACCATAAATGTATATTACAATGAAAACATTACTCAATAGCTTCTTATTTGTGTATTTTCTGTTACGCGTTTTAGAAATAAGTACATAAGCAAACTGGCAACATTGCTGTCATAAGTCTGTATAATTAAAAGGGACAGAGCATTAAAGT